GAGATGCGCGTGGCGGGGCGGCGGCGGGGTGGTGGGAAGTCATTGCGCAAGCGCGAGTGAGTGCGGCGTGTGGTATGTGGTGTGTGTGGTTCAAGCAGGTTACAGTTACTTGCAAGTGGACTCAAGGACGCGTAATTACCAGCTTGTACCGAGCACCCTACTCCGGCTCTTGCTCACGACAGGCTCCAGCTCCATCAGCTGCTCAGTGAGCTTTCGGCTTCGCAGCCTTGCGACTTCGCGGCGCGCCGGCCGTCAACCGTGACCGATTGCCCAAAGTTCAGTTCAACCACTGGTCGTGGTCATTGCCTCGCCAACGCTCGTCTGTCTCCAGCATTAGATTAACTTCCATCGGCCCCATTCATCGTCATCTCGCCAATGGAGATGTTGCATGTGTGAGGGATTTGCGATTTGACCATTGATTCTTATGTAAAAGTTCGCGAGAAACACGATGGTGCCACTGGTTTTCTCTGAAATCAACTCCCAAGCTCAAAAAAAGCTCTCAAAGTGAGGCCAAAATGGAGGGGATATCCCACCCTACCCTGAGAGTCCACCTCTACATCAAAACAAACTCTCCATGCAAAGATAGGGAGCAAATACATTGGCAGGGTTGCCACTTTATTTGGGGTTTCCAAAACTGAAAACACGGCATCACTGCTAATGTATTTGCTCCCTATCTTTGCATGGAGAGTTTGTCTTGATGTAGACGTGGACTCTCAGGATAGCGTGGGGGGATATCCCCTCCATTTTGGCCTCACTTTGAGAGCTTTTTTTGAGCTTGGGAAATGATTTCAGAGAAAACCAGTGGCACCATCGTGTTTCTCGCGAACTTTTACATAAGACTCAATGATCAAATTGCAAATCCCTCACACATGCAACATCTCCATTAATGCATTCCTCTCACACTTAAACAGCTAAGGGATTACCATATTCGAGGACAAACGGGGAGCTTTCAGGGATCGTCCATAAATTACGTTTCCTCGATAGAAATAGGGTAAGCTTGAGTCCCTTTATACTGAGAGTCAAGACAACACCCCCTCATGGAGTCACCGACGGGAATAAAGATTACACAAATTGAAAGTTTTTCGTAATCTTTGATCGGTCCATTTCTCACATTCCTTTCTCCGTTCCTTCTCTCATTCCGTTTGTTCCTTGCCGAACCCGTAATTCCCCGGTTTATTCCAGATTATAATATTTGCAATTGGTGAAAATGTAATCTTTATTCCCGTTTGTGACACTGTGGAGGCCTAAAATACGGGAACCAATCAGAGATGGATTCACATTGTCTTAACTCTTAGCATAAAGGGACTCTAGAGTAGCCTAGAATGGAGGCGGGCACTCGGATCGTCAAAAATGGACTATCCACTCGATTAGTGTACTGATTGTTGACATTGACAGATAATGTTATAGACAAAGAAGACATAGGGAGTTTAGAGCGATCCTATTTGTTGAACTGGGTGGTTCTTATAGACTAAGGGGGAGAGGTTGGACTAACTATAGGGTCTCTCGTGGGTTGCCAAAAGTTAGTGTATTACCTACCTCCTTTGTCCATTGCAACCACCCGCTTCCACCAAAAGAATCCTTCCACATATATCCCTGTTGTCTTCTTTGTCTGTAGCTTTGTCTGTCAATTTCAACAATCACCCGCAGATCGTTCAAAACCCCGTGTACTTGAATGGGCAATATCGTGACTGTCAGTTTGTTTTTCCTCGACTTTTAGTCGGTTTTTATTCGTGTATGGAATTTATCAGCGTTTTTGTTGCTCTGATCTTCAGAGTTTCAAAGTTTCGGCGAATTAAATTGGTATATTTTTAAGATATTCACTTCAGCAATCCCTCAAATACTTCGCTTATGGACGTGTTTTTGATCGCTTCAAATTGCGGGACCAATCAGGAAATAGAGTATCTAGATCTAATGGTTCGTTTTAGTAGATCTAACGGCGAACTCAGAATGCATTTCATGGCTAGTCCATTTTTTTAATCGGTCGATCGCCTCCCCGGGAAAGACGGGAATGCGGTTACCCGCTTTTATTCGGGGTGGCCCTAGATAGAAATGGACGTATTTATGCTAAAAGGAACTATGTGCATTGGGTTTGCTTGAGACATAGTTCCTTTTAGCATAAATACGTTCAAATTAGAAACCTAATTATATTTCAACGTGACGCGTAAAAATTTTTACTGGGATACTCCTGGGCATTTTTACTTGAAAATTTAACTCGCTTTTCTTCTGATCACGCGTAATAATGAGTAAGATTTTGGACAGATGTTTCTCAGTTATATTTTTGTAAAATATCTAATTGTTTCGGTCAATTTCACAACCTTTAAATTGAGCCTTGTCTGAATGGGAAAAGGAGAAATGAAATGGAAAATTCTAAACCTGGTAAACGCCATCAGATGTTGCTAAGAACATAAAGCAAGTTTTCTGATTTAACAGAAATTGCACCATCTTAGCAGCAGCTGCTGGCGTTGACCCTATTTTGAATTTACATTTTTCAAAGGACGTTTCGCAATTTTTCTCTAACCCTTGACCCCTTTCTCATTTTCTTGAATTAGACATTTTCAGTTCCATCCTCTCCTTACATTTCCCTGACGCCTCTGATGGACGACCCTCTATTGGAAGAGAACCAAGAGTTTTGGCGAACAAGGGCTCTGCCAGTGACGTGGCGTGAATTGCGATGTATCGATTGTTATGCCATTTAAACCTATGGTAAAGAATCGATTATTTAGGTGTTCGCTGCGAACACCCTGTTTATCGATCCTTTTCCATAGGTTTAAATGGCATAACAATCGATATATCGCAAAGCAAGCCACGCCACTGGGCTCTGCCTGTCAGCTGATTGGCAGATGCGTTATAGAGACAGTGGTAATCAAAAACTGGACGTGGCCCACATTTTATGGGTTATAGAACATTTCGTCAACGATTATTTGTCCGCGCACTTGTTTTGTTTAATAGTTTACGTCCACGCGTTTTTTCGACAGGGGAATTTCGGCCCACTTACCAATGGAGACCCAAGCTAATTGGTCCACAAGTAAATACAAATGATATTGGCTTTCGAGTTTTCAGGATGAAAATGTATAATGTCTTGGAAAAATGAGGGTTTGCTTGTTTTTTCTTTGTTTTTTTGGTCATACGGAGAAAAATATATATTTGGAATTTTTGGTAAAAATGGGGGAGCGTCAATTCTATGAGGAAAAACTCTCTACCCCTCTTTGGTGCAACAGGACTTAACTATCTATCAAGGAAATCCCATTTTGTTATACCTGAACCGGATAAACTTTTTAATTTGCCTCAGCTAAAGGCTCTCAGATTTTTCCTGTGCACGATAACTTCGCGACCGCGCGGCACCACCACGACGTACCACGGTGCTTCGCTACTGTTTTGCCACAGAGGTGTTGCACAGTATCATACGAGATTGAAGGCACCCCAACGTATCATGATTGATGGCATTTTCCAGAAGCACGAAATTGCCTTACAAATTAAATCGAGTGACGACGACCAAAAAAGAACGGTAGTTATTAAGTCCTAGGATCTGTATTCAAAAACGTTTAGCATGATTTTTTTACTTCATTATCGGAAAAAATGACTTGAATCTAACAGAGATATGCTTGAATTTACCGCAGAGGAGATTTCCTTATGAATTATAATAAAGAAAATAATGCTTGTTTAAAGAGGAAGAGATACTTATATATAAAGAAAAGTCACTTACATCAAGCAGAAACCCACTTTCATTCGATTTTATTCTTGGTTCAAAATAAAATCTTCGTTACGGCATACTCAAGAATGTTTCTGCCTAAATCAAGTCACTTTTTCTCTAATGAAATTCAAAAATTATGCTAAAAGTTATTTAATATGGATGGTAGGACTTGGTAAGTTTTTGAACAACCGCTCTCTTTTTGTGCCGTAGTATCTTGATTTATTTTGCGAGGAAAGCTCCGTGCTATTAAAGTATGGCTGTCATATTTAATATGTTGGAGCGCCTTCAATTTCGTATGATACTGTGCAAAACCTTGGTTGCGAAACAGTTGCTTGAAGCGCCGCGGCGCGGCGGGCGAGAGCGTCCAGCGCTACATACGCATTGGCGCCTACAAACCTAACAGGGATACCTCACGCGTTGCGCAATGCGTGAAGTATCCCTGTTAGGTTTGTAGGCGCCAATGCGCGTTTCGTGCTAGCAGCAAGCCGCGCGCCGCGCCGGCGCCGCTCCGCTGTGTTTGACTCACGGGGACAGCGTTTTTCGACTCATGATTTTGAAATGTTTGCACACTCTGCATGGATTCTTCTCATTGGCGCTCAGTGAGGCGAGTCAGTGAGAGGAACGTATAGGTTTCAGAAGTGGTTCATTGAGTTTCTTGCATGCAAAATATCTTTAAAGGAGCACCCTAAGTGAAATGTTAAGCGAGTTCTTGACACTTACGACTCACTTCGACAAAGGGCCAATTACTCCAAGCGCACTGTCTGAAGAAGTCTCTTTCTTCCACTCGTGCGTTTTGCTAAGAAAGCTGGCAACATGAATAAGAATAATACTGTCTTTGAGGAATAATACAGTTCCGAAAGAAATGTTTGTTTCGCTCGAAAATTTTCTCAAGAAGCCATTTTCTGATAGATTTTCCCTCAAACTTCGGACCTTTTAATCGAGTAACTCAGCCACATGCACGGGTGAAGGAACACTTTTCCCCTTTCTCTTTCTTAGGGGTTGTTTGTGAATGTATCATAATGCTATTTAAGAAGCATGTAAATTGCGCAATTACTTTAATTTTTCAAGGAATATCCTTCTCGGGTCTATGATAATTTGAAAGTAGGGTGAGGCACTCAAGTCAAAGGGTGTAATGAGATATCTCGTTGAATACGGTGAAAGAATAATAGGAGAAGGTTGCAGTGTACTTATAATGCTAATACATTTTTTAAAATCATGAAATTGAGATGGATTTGAGATGCAGTTGATTGTGCAATCATACACATTATGTTTTAAAGTAAAATAAACGAAAAGACGAATACAATCTTAATACTTAAAAAAGTAGCATTTAATTGTACAATAAACTTGCTGCAAATACATTGATACAATTATTCTGAAACTGCTTGTGCAATTTGCAAGAACTACAAGGTCCGAATAAAACTATTATTTATTATTGCACTTTAAAATCTGTGGTGAACATAAGTGAATACCTCTCACCTCGTATAAAAATGATGTCCGTATACATTTGCCTCCTCCTTGGACGGCCCAAGTTAAATTTTTCAGAGGTTTCCTGTTGATATCCATCGCAACATGCGTCAGTTGTTTCACTCATATTTCGAAATTATACATTTTTAATTTTTACATTTAGAAAATATTTTCCAAAAGTTAGAAAGGAAAAGTCATAAACGGCCGTGGATCAAAACGACAGGAAGTATCATGATGCTCATTAAAATACAATTTTTTGCTTATTCTTCATAAGAATGGATAGCTTTTGTTCAATTTTTCCTCTCTTTCGATCAGGTTGTCTACGATATAACGTGTTAAAGCGTTAAAAAAAATCGGTGCAAAAAAAAAAAAAAAAAAAAAAAAAAAAATCGAACATTTGGAATCCACTTTTTCAAAAAGTTTGTTGCTAGAACAGAATTTAATTACGTTCCAAAGTGAGTATTTTGAAAGCAACGATTCTTTTTTTCGTGTCCCGGTCCGTACCACTCCCGTGCGGGCTACAAGACACCCCAGGGGTGAAATAAGTAAATCACAAAAATAATTCTTATTGATAAGAATTCATAAGAATGATATTTTTGAGCATCTTCGGGAAATGAAAAAATTCAATTGTTTGAAGTAAATCGACCTTAATTCTCAAGAATTCTAAAAATTGAGATTCCTCATTGGTATATCGCAAATCACTTCAGCTAAAAATGTAGTCACAGCCACGGGACGTCCAGTGTGAAGGTCCTGATTCTTGCACGACCAGTGGCGATTTTGCTAGTTGGTGGTTCTGTTTCTCCTCCATGTAAATCCATCAAAAATATCGATTTTAGGGGAGGCAAACATCATACAAAGAATCGATTGTTTTACATATGTTTAAATGGAGCAAAAACAGTGTTGTCAACTTTCAAGAATCCCCACTGCTCACGATTGAGTCGCTACAGGAAGAGTTCGTCGTATGTAAACCTGAGTGTGATTTTGTTCGAAATATCCGTGAACAGATCGGACAACGCTCCTTCTAAAGCCGGTCGAATTTCCTCCAGGAAGAGCCGCGAGTTGTCGTTCAGGACTTGGTTAGCTGTTGCTCCTGAAAATATATTTAAGAAGAGTTGTAAACTTAGGCAGCACAACACAATACATGGACAATGTCAATGGCTTGTAACAAGCACCTAGATAATTTTTCTTTTAGTGAACTCATTTTGCCTAGCTTGTCAAATGAAGGCGAATCTATATTTACGAATGCGTAACATGGAGGTCTAGAAGATCACTCTAGAATTGTGTGAATATTACTCTGGTTTCAGATGCAGTTTCAGGTTGAATTTCAACAAGCATAATTTTAATGGACATTTGTATTAGCTGTAAAAAACAGTAACGATATTTCCTTTCGGTGATAACCAGAGGTAGCTTAATAATTGATGTATTCGAGAAATATTGTTTTCAAATTGATGCATTTATGCCGTCAAGGTGGGAAGTTTTGAAAAATGCGATTTGCAGTAAATTGCTGTCAACTACTATTTCGAATCCTATACCGGTAATAGACTTAATCTTGCAGAAAGGAACTAATTCACTGTTTTGAAATCAAAATGAATTTGAGTAAAGTAGGTAATTTTGAGCTGGAATTGTATCAATGGTTTCTACACATGAACTTGATGACTTGAGGTTAATTGTTTACACTGAGTCACGTGAAAGAGGACTTTCTTTGTTTCTGTTTTAACTTATTGTAACTTGATCTCTTTTTGTGGAGTCAAATTAAATTTATAAACGCCCACCGAAAGAAAGTAAATTACCTAATATAGGGTCACCGTTGAAGAGATTCGTAAGTTTGATTTTGGCACCACCAAATTCCAGTTTCATTTTCATCTTGTCCATCTTGAGATAGACGTTTCCGTCCCTTGTTACTTTACTGCCGGTCATTCGGACAACTGCTCTGTAATCAGCTGAAACAATTCATTTTCGTTATTATTTGCACTAACTGAAGTTTTCATCATGACTTCGGACTGCAATTTACTTAAGATTGTAAGAATAATTTGAGGAGAATGGGGAAATTGACCTCCACTTCTATACTTGAAATAAATCCCAGTGTAGAATGTATATACTCTCGAGGCAGAAGATCTTTGAGTTTCACTGAGTCAATTTTACGAATAAACAACAAACACTAACCGCAAGGATAGCTTCAAACCAAAGACACTGTAATTTATAATTATGCAGTGGCGTGGCGTCCATAGGTTCGCAGTGTTCGCCGAACACCCTAAAATATTTTGAAGCAATTAATAAATTATGGCCAAGAATGTGGGAAGCAATACAGAATACAGAATAGTAGATCGCAAATAAGTATCGGGCGCTTGGCTTCCGACAGCGGCATGTGGCGCGGCGGAGAGAGAAAATCCTGTGACGTGTGGTCCGTACCGACTACCGAACCCGGATGACCTGCGTACGGTGAGGAGAGAGAACCTGGGTGCAATGATGAAGGGGCAAAGGGTACACGAGAGAGGAGAGGCACCGGCGCGCGGCGCAGAGCGGAGCGTGAGCATTGGGTTCGGAGACGAGTGCGGACCGCGCTCGCGGAGGGAACACAGCAGAGAGAAAAGAGAGGGGAAAAGAACGAGAGAGGAAAGCCGCTCATCAGTCCAGCTGTTTCCTATAGCAGTGGTCCGCAGGGGTTTGCGAACCGCCGAATTTCCTCTATGCCGCGATTCGCCCTCCGCTTCCCCCCCCCTGCGCCTGCGGGCCGCATCTCCCAGTTTCCCAGTCTCCCTCTCCCACCTCTCTCTGCAGGTGCGTGTTGCGAAAATACGTTGTCATTTAACAAAATAAATTACAGGAAAACGATCGGTAAAAAGAACAAATTTTCAATGACAATTTACCGGCACAATTTTCACCAGAAAGGGTTAAAATCGTGTTCTTGCGGCTTCATTTTTTAAAAAGTTTCCGGGGGAGGCCCCCCGAACCCCCCTTTAAGGAAGGGGAGGGAACCTTTCTGACCCCCCCCCCCTAAAGTTAACACTCCTACCGAACGCCTACCGGATATAGTCACGCCACGCCACTGCATGCATAGCTGTACGAATGCGAAACAAACCGATAGGAATCGAGCTACAAGGACTGCAACTCATTGATTGGTTTGTCAAGCAGACGAGCTTTGAGCTTCAAAACAAGTCTCAGTTATTTTTGAGAGGGCTATTTGAAACGCAGTTAAAATTTTTTGACGTTAATGTGGTGTACCTCGCGGAAGGCCCATTGTGTAAAATTGAAAAATTCTGATTAAACTATCTTCATTGAATGATTTACATTAAAAATGACCTACAGAAGCATAAAAACACAAAAACTTGCAACCTGCAGGCAATCCGGGGCGCGCAGGTGACCTTGAGACTCGGAACATACAAGGTTCCCGCGCGCCGCGTCAACTTTGAAGACTCATAACTCCGCTTCTAATAGTTTCCCCAAGATCATCTTGGGCTTGTTTTAAAGCTTAAACGCTCTACTTTTATTTGAAATTGTTTTAGTTTTAATCCGTGCGAATCGAATAACCGAAAATCTCAAAAAACGAAAATTTACGAAAGGGGGACCTCGTAAAATGCCCCAAAAGTGGATCAAATTTTAAAATTTAATTAATTTCATACATATATTCTGAAAGCCCTCATTTTTCTGGAAATTTTGACACCAAGATCATCTTCCTACGACAAACCGTTGAGAAGTTATGCTACTTTAAAGTTTTTGACTTTGACCCCCTCTCCCCCCTTTTCCCTGGGGGTTAGGCAAAAAATATGACCAGTTTTGAGTGTCTGGGAAGACCCTCTATCATCCCTGAGAAAATCGTACGATTCCGTGTTTAGGCCGATTTGGCCGTTTTGTTGTAGGGTCCTTTTGATGTTCAATTTGTCAAATTTCAAATTATAAGGGGCGCCTTTAAAGGAAATTGCACGAGAAAACCGATGAAATCACTTTTAAAACCTCAAAATTGTGCATGAACCGAGTTATATGCCTTTGAAGTTTCCAAATGTTGTCCGACCTCTCCTGCTGACTCGATCCACGGTGCGGCGCGCGGCGTTAGAGCAAAACAATCAGGGGTATGTCCACAACGAAACAGTTGTTTTGTATTTTGTCCAGCCAAATTGGAAGATAAACGGTATGTCTCGCCAGTTGCGTCTTAATAAAGAGCCACGAGGACGTCGTCTAGAATGTTGATGTTTTAAAGCAGAAGGGAAACACTCTACGCTTGGTATCAATGATAATTGACCTTGAGAGATTAAATGCGGAGGGGAGTATTAAGAGGGACTCAAGAACAGAAAAACGGGAGAATGAACTAGCTGCTACTTTTAGGGATTTTGATAAACTGTAGGCATTTTCGGGGCAAAATGAATTAGATTGACTTAAAATTATTTATTTTGGTGGTTGATCCGCAGGAGTTCAAAGCAATCGTTAGAGGTGAAACAGTCTGCTGCTATGATGTGAGACGTTCACACACAATCGCCCATATTCTGAATTAAAGTAGGAAAAAGTGAATCGTTCGAATACATTAGTATTCGGAGTAGGCTTGTTGCCTAAGCGGGTGAATTGAAGGCGAACTTCTGACGAACAATTCGGAACTGGTTCATTTTTCGTGTTTTTACTTAAAAGTATAGATCTGGAACACACATAATTTCTCAAAAAGATGACTATTTATGATTGGTAAGTTAAACTTTCGAATGGACCATATTTACGATTCGATAGGTACACATATAATTTTGATTATATATTTGGACCCTTGTCGTGATAGGGTGATGCCGTCTGTGTAATCACGCCTCATGTATCACTCTTAATATGGTGCTGGCCAAAGTTTACACCCAAAAGGGGTTATCAACTTGTACGTTCAATTTACTCTTTCATCGGAGATGGGTGTCCCATTTGTTTCCTGCACGAGCAAATTATTCCTCTCAACTGTTTTCGCCAGATAAATGAAACAAACGAGTATCTCTAATGCGATGTTTATAAATATCTGATTATGTTCTATTTCTTTAAAAACAATACATCTTTTAGAAACATTAAGGCAATGTTGCCAAATCAAAAAAGAGGGTCCCTGGAGAATTTAAAAAAAATGTTGGTTGGTTTTCGTTCAAGAAAATATAACATGATCATCATTTTGCAACACCACAATCGGAAAAACTGATTTTTTTTTTTTTTTTTTTTTTTAGAAAAATGTTAGCCATCAATTTCTACTTTAATATGCATGATTCTTATTCAATTAACAAAAGATTCATCCGACTAGCAAATTTTTGAGTGGCACATCTGTGTCAAAACATGGCTTTGAAATATCATTTCGCAGAGGGAAAATGAGCCTTCACTGGAAAAAAAACACATTGGATCTAGACACCAAACTCTTGAAAACACTGACAAGAAAAAGGACTCTTGATTCAATCAGACTTAAGCTTAAATCAAAAGGAAATCCGCTCAAATTAAGAGGCTTGGTTCTTGATTTAAGCTTAAATCTGATTGAATCAAGAGTATTTTTTCTCGTCGATGTTTTCAAGAGTCCGAACTCTAGGTCCAATGCGTTTTTTTCCAGTGTTGAGTATTTCTTTGCATACGTGCTGCCAGATGTCATACACAGAAGATTCCTTTCAAGTCTTTAAACCCTGTAAGCTTTAAAGAAGTTTTGAGGCTAAAAAAATCCCGGAGGAGCCTCCAAATCATCGAAGTGCCGTGGTGGTTTAGTGCTACACAATTTGCATTTTCGTATTTTGAAGGCAACACTTGAAAGCCATCATCGCTACGCCTGCTTCCACTTGCGAGTCCGAAGCAAAAGTTTAATTAGAATGTGTCAGAAACTAATGCCGACTAACATTAATGAACATGCATGTCAGTTTAGTCTCGAAGTCTTTTGAAATCCTCGGTGCCAATATGCGTTTTATTTGAATCTAATTTTCATTTGGGATGTAATGCTTTAAAAATACCTATAGGTTGCTGAGAAGGAATGTAAATTATTGACCTAAAATATTGCATGCATGGCGGATCAGACCACTTATTATGCTCAACAAATTTAAAAATTAAACACTAAAAAGTGGCCCGAAACTGTATTTAACAAGGTGGAGAAATGGTGCTGGGTCCACACCATTTCGCGGGGAAACAAAGCCAAGAAATACCAAAAATTATAATTAGAGTCAAAAATAAATTTTTAAAACTCTAATGAATATAACCATCATAAGAATCATAACCAAATGAACTCTCTCCCCCCTCAGTTTCATACTGGTGCGCATTAGAGTTCTAAAAAATTATTTTTGACTCTAATTATAATTTTTGGTATTTCTTGGCTTTGTTTCCCCGCGAAATGGTGTGGACCCAGCACCATTTCTCCACCTTGTTAAATTATGCTCAACAGTTGACTGCAATTTTTTATCCCATATATCCAAATAAATTTTGCAAATACATCTTAATTCATAATGTGTTTGACATTGACTCATCTGATATTGAAGTGCCCCTAACTATATTTTGGATCGAAATTTCGGCATAGAAAATCATTGGTTATTTCTTTCAGTGAAACTCTATACACAAAAAGAACTGTGCTCATAATATTAAAAATTCAAACATTTTTGGAGCATTACCATTAATTAGAATTAAAAAATTAAATTTAAAATCTGGGCACTTAACATTTATTACAGGTGTTTTTTACTTACATAGATTTAAGCTTTTTTGGCTCACCCCAAGCCATCATCAGAGCTTCAGAGCTTCCACACAAAAAAATATTAATAACCATAAACTACTACATTACAACTACATAATGAAAGTACACAATATTCTTCAATGCTTGTAATATTTTGTAATGTAATTGTGTAGTTTCATTATGCAGTTTTAATGTAGTAATTTATAGTTTTTGTAATTTTTTTGTGGCGAACTCTAAACCTCTGAAGCTCTGATGAAGGCTCGGGGTAAGCCGAAAAAGCTTTAAGCTATGTAAGTAAAAAACACCTATAGTAAATGTACAGTGCCCAGATTTTAAATTTAATTTTTTAAAATTAAGAAGATCTCAGGTAGGAGCTGTTTTTTTAAATTCTTCTAGTTGATAAGGTCGTACAAATAAAATTTAATGAAATGTTGGTAGAATTTCATTTTACTCACTGAAGTTGCCATACATGTCGCCAGTACCGTTAATCCTAAAGAATAATATGTTCATGTCCATACTATACTTTCCGAGGAAGTTGAGGTGCGGCAAGTGTAATTTGAAATCATATATATTTTTGACTAAATCAGTTCTGTAAGAGAGAAAAATACGCTGATAAATATGATTTGTCAAATTGAATACTCAAATCCGAAAAGGTAAATCACACACAGAAGTATGCTTCACTCATTTTTCTTTCTCAGAAAAAACCGAGGTGAAAACATAGTATTTCAAAAGTTAAAAGCTTTGTTGTCTCAAATCATGGTTTACTGATGGCATGCGCTGACCTGTCATTTGAATTAAATGACACATTTTGACACACACATTTGACACATTAAAAAACACATTAATCACATTTTGCATTTCTTTTTTGGACGTAATAATGCTGGAAGGGACTATTTACTTAAGTAAATATATGAATTAAAAGGATTTAAATCCCACAAATTCTGTGTACGTAACCTACTTTGATTTATTTCACTTATACATGGTTTTTTTTTTAATCTAATAAAATCATTTGGTTATTCGTCCTCCGAATTTTATTTCCAACAGGTGTAGAAGCCAAATTCAGTTATAACAACACAAGAATTAGAGAAGCGGTACAATAACTTACCGATTTCTATTTTTAAGATATCATTTGCTTTTCTACAGGGACTGGTTTGTGAGTCTCACAACTGCCGTAACGTTGTAAGTTGTAATCAACTATCATTCGACTTGATTTAAAATTGTTCGTATGATATATATCGACGGTGAACGTCGCAGACTTCCTGTCATACTTTATTTTTTAAATGAAAAACTACTTAACATCCAGTCTTGAAAATTTCTGTGATTTTTCCTCTTTGTGCGGAGAAAATTCCGTGAAAATTTCAAGGAATGATATTGATTTGGTCTACTTCAAAAAAATAATATGTGAGCGTAGATTTTTAAACACCGCAAACGAGATACGTGGTTTGGTAGTTTCACCGTCGATATGTAATTCATAGAAGAGTTAAGGCTTGACTTTTTTTTAGACGGTGGTCCTCGCAATGAAGAATTAATATTTATTGGTGCTTAGAAATCACTATTTTTTATTGAATAAATAAATGCATACAAAATCGGTGCTTACTCTAATTCCAGAATCCTGAAATCGCTGCAACCCCAAACTTTAATGTTGCTCATGACGGCATCTATGCGGGCTCCTCGCGGCCCTCTTTTTAGTTTGATTTGTTTAATAACCAAGGGTTCTATCGGTGGAACATCCAACTCATCGATTCCTGGAAAGTCAGAAGAATAGTTTTTAATCTCGTCAAGGAAAAAAAGGGGTGAAGAGGACTGTCATGGCTGGGAGATAATTTATAAACACCGGATAAAGACATTTCTCAGAGCATGAGAGAAATTGGATCGCGCTAAACAGAAAGGAACCAAGCCACATCAGCTATTGCCAAATTTAATTGGGTAATTTAATTTTTAACATGAAAACGGTTGTGCGGATTTTCGTGCAAATTTCGGTGAAAATTCTCCATGGTACGAAGCAAATTCCTTAAAATTATCAAAGAAATCCGAACAAACGTTCTTTCGTAAAAAATTGTATTGCCCAGTTAAACTTGGCAATAGCTGATGTGGCTTGGTTCCTTTCTGTTAAACTCGGTCCATTTAATAAAGAACGGCTGTGAGGGTTTGGTTCCTAAGACTGACCTCAAGCAACTTGATTCAGAAACTAGTGTAAGAAATCTGTACAAAAATACTTTTTCTAGTAGCGAAAACGCAAAGGTTTACTGTTTACTACGAATAAGAAGACGGATTTGTTGTCTATTTACAACGCACATATATTCCGTTTCGCGTTTCACCAAGTCTTCGGCAATTTTCTCCAGGTATGATTGACAAATTGCTTGGGGGACCAACAATGGCGTGACGTGCTTTGCGACTTATCGATTTATCTGTCATTTAAATCAATTAAAGAGGATCAATAAACGGGGTGTTTGCAACGGACACCTTAATAATCAATTCCTTATCATAGCTTCAAATGGGGAAATATCGATAATAGATCATTCACGCCTCACCACTGGTGACCAATCATATTTGAAGACAACAGTGGAGAATGAGACTAGTTTGAGATGAGATGAGTTTAACCGATCGCAAGAAGTGTAGAAGAAATTTGTGAACCAAGTGAAAAAGACATTTAAAAGAATCTTAGCTCTGTCAAAGCTCTGAACTTTGTTATCGCGTGGGGCCTTTATGCCGAAAAAATGCCAAAGCACCGTTTAAAAGAGGGAATTAAAGACCCTTTAAAATAGATGTGTTACTTTAAATCTTTTACGTTGATTTCCCTCCAGCTTGGTGGATGATTTCTTATCAAGGTCTCGATCAGAGGTGGATCCGGCAATTTGGCAACATTGTCTTTCCTCCATTTAAACCGGTGCTAAATGATCGATTCTTGTCGGAGCTCCTGGCCCCTCCAAGAATCGATACATTTTATAGGTTTAAATGGGAGAAAACAATGTTGCCAAACTGCTGGACCCGCCTCTAGTCTCGATGCTAAATTTTATGGGTGATCTTAGCGACCACGATGAAAAACATGTTGAGCATTAAATTTGAGATACCCGAGGGAAAATCATAGCGATATCATGATTTGAAATAACGTGAAGTTATAGGGAGCACATATTTTAAAGAAATTATAGACAGTACCTACGGCCAATTTTTGACGAAGAGCCTCTATGGAATTGTTAATGCACTTTGCAACGAGGGGGTCTGCTTTGCGGCATAATTTGATGTACTCAGCTGAAAAACAGGATTAGTTACAATTAACGGACTCCGCCAACATTTCAACATATGTATACAGTGAGTACAGATATCGATGGCTGAAGACAAAATAATGTGTATCTTCATTTTGTCAATAGTAACTACAATATCCAGCTCATTTCAGAAACAATGTACGTGTCATTAGTGTCCCTATGCACGTGAGTATTTTTATGGATGAGCCAGAAATTTTAATTACTAATTACAACATGCAGTCCATTTTTCCCCTTGTCGTTGAGAAGCAAGTTTGTCAAGACAGAGCTACGGGGAAACCTTACCTAGACATGTCATACATACTATGATTTTAGTTAATTTTTTATTTCGTCCTTTTCGTTTGTATACGGAGAAAATAAATGTTCTACAATGACAGAATCTCACTTGAGAGAAATGAATAACATAATTTGTGTATTTAGTTTAGATTTTCTTAAACACTCATATTATCTTCCGTGGGTAAACCCGGTCGCAGGCAACGGAGACACAGTACCCACGTGCGCGGTAAATTTGAAAATTCGTGATACGGGCTACGTAAATTGTACACTATGAAGTGAGTTTTAGAGTTTTTCAATGTAATCATCGTTATTTTTGTGGGTTTCAGGTCATTTCGTCAACGATTCTTTGTCCGCGCACCTATTTTGTCCTGTAGCTTACGTCCACGCGTGAAATAAGCAACAGTGACTTAGTTTAAGCGTTGACGGGAATTTTGACACGGAGCCACCTTAATATTCACTAAACACACATTATACTTTCATTTAATAAATTTGTTTTCCCCATCAATTTAAATGAGAATAATCCATGCAGAGTGTGCGAACATTTCAAAATTAGCGGAGCAGCGTGTGGCGGCGTGCTGCCAGCGCGACACGGGCACTAGCGCCTACAAACCTAACAGGGATACTTCACGCATTGCGCAATGCGTGAAGTATCCCTGTCAGGTTTGTAGGCGCCAGTGCGCGTGTCGCGCTAGTCACCTTCGCCCGCCGCCCTACGACGCTTCAAGCAACTAGATCGCAATAGAGGTGTTTCACAGTATCATACGGAATTGAAAGCTCTCCAACGTATAAAAAATGACAGGTATCCTTTAACAGTGCGGAGTTTTCCTCGCAAAATAAATCAAGATACCACGGCACAAAAAGAGAGTGGTAGTCCAAAAACTCACTAAGTCCTAGCACCCGTATTTAATAAGTTTAGCATAATTTTTGAATTTCATTAGAGAACAAATTTACACGATATAGGCAGAAACATTCTTGAGTATGCCGTAAGAAGTTTTAATTTGAATCGAAAATAAACTAGCTGAATGAAACGGGTTTTTGCTTGAAGTAAGTGGCTTTTCTTTTTATATAAGCATTATTCCTTTAAACAAGCATTACCTTCTTTATTGATTCATGTAAATTGGAGATTGATCAAGTCATTTTTTCCTCTGATGAAGTTCAAAATTCATTCTAAACGTTATTGAATACGGATACTAGGACTTAGTAAGTTCTTCTACTACCGCTCTCGTCACTCCATTTAATTATTTGCAAGGGAACTTCTTGCTTTCAAAAGATGCCATCAATCATGATACTTTGGGGTGCCTGTAGTCTCATATGATACTGTGCAACACCTCCGTGGCGAAATTGTAGCCCCGGAAAAACGCGTGGACTTAAACTACTAGAAAGAACAGGTGCGTGGACAAAAAATCGTTGACGAAATGTCCTATAATCTTCTCGTGCAGTCATACCTGCAAACAGCTGTAAAAAGATGTTAATTTATCTGTTTCTATAGTGTGCTTACAGACCCATTTACTTCTTAGCTCACTAACTCCTGTCCTCACATTTCTGATATTATAATAAATGAAAAATAGGTGAAATGAAACTTTACGTATTGCCGCCTGGATTGTGATGAAAGATATTGCCGCCACGATTCCACCCAGCAGAATAGTCCTTCCATTTTTCATCTTGATTTTGACGTTTTTATCTGGAACAGAATGCGAATAAGATTCACCAGTTTTGTAAAGGTCGTGAAAAGACATAAATAAAAAAATCCCTCCACTCCCACTATTTACCCTCTTTTATACTTGAAATAGGAAACCAGGTATTCTCAAAAGCCTGTTATTTATGTATACAGAAAATTCGCTCTCTCTCTATGAGTGCGTTAGATCAGATTTAGTCTTTTCAATTTAATCATAAGCGCGTGACTATCGTTTGTTACTTTCAAATTAAAATGAATTATTTTAAATGACAGAGGCGATTTCATGATGAGTTTTAGAGAAACGCCAACCAGCACTAACAGTTTTTTTCTTCAGTTACCCTTCCTAAATTGTTGCATGATCGGTTTTTTAAATTAAAAAGTAATAGGAGAAGAAGAAGAAGAAGAATATAAAATTAAGAAGCAACGGCAGAATGCACACCGATATTTTAAATCTCAGCTGTTAGGAATCTTCCAAAAGCATTGTTTGACACTCAATTTTGATAAAACACCAAATACCGCAAAATCAACAATAAACACCTCTTTACGGTGAAACGCAAAACTCAGAGGACAGCAACGCACGTATTTAAACTCTGAATCATGACTGTCTCAAGAATTTAGAGCTTAAATTTTATACCGCTATCGGCCAGAGGATGGCCCCCACCTCAAAGTCCCATTTTTCAGGAGTTAGGTATGAGAAAGCTCGGAAAATCGGCCTAACCCCGTTCTTATTGGACGCAGATAGGATTTTACGAGAGCATCATTGTTATGAAATTTATGGAGGAGCAGTCACAGTGATGACTTCTCTATGAAGTGTGTGCGCATTGAGTAAACATCGTGAGAGTTCGCGAATTTAAGTCATCGAACCGTGCAACCTAGAATTTTCACCTCTTGTTGAGTCAGAGTTTCCATTGTAAGTCCAAGGAATCCTACTAAATCTTCCGGAATATTGGAAAAAAAGGTACACCACAAAGATAACTTGTGATGGGGAACGCCGTGGGGAAACCAAAAAGTTCTATCACCGAATTCATTCAAATCGATCAGGTGAACTCTTTCAAAACTGCTCATTTTTGTTATTCACGATTCAATGACAACACGGGGTCAAATTCAAAAATCCGCTTTTTGCTCCTATTTTCACAGGAGTGCTGGAATTCCATGGGTGCATTAATCGCATATTTCTGTGATTTTTGATCGAAGTTTTCTGTGAGAGATTTAAGCCATGTCTTTAATTTATCTTCGTGCATTGTGAATTTTGAGCCCATTCAAAATATTCAACAATTAAGTGCATCATCATCGCTGGATCAACGGAGTATGAGAACCGATCAATGTCAGCCGTCATCGAAACATCTAATCTGTTTTACGGAATCCAACCCACGGACTTACATTTTTTGCAAATATTCTAAATGTTTGAAAGTATTTAATGACAGTTTTTTTCTTTGTTTATTGCCATTGATTATATGAACTCAATGACAACGGTGTTAACGCAACAATCACATATTATTGCATTGTCGCGCTGGTAGTGCTCAAAAAAGTACTGTATGTTGTTCTGCATAAAAGTGTTCGTTATTTTATCAGTAAACCGTTATTGCTCATGAGGAAAAAGTGAGAAAAAACACGTGATGTATGAAGCTCGCCCAGAACGGCAAGAAGGATTCAAACCAGCTGATGGCGATGAGGCTATGTATTTCACCAAGAACACGTTGAACGTTGATGGTTGATGGTGGGCCATTGGCCGTTGCAAAGGACGACCAGCCCAGTCAAGCACTTTCCTAGTTGTCAGATCGCAAATGGACCTGAAGTAAGTGCTACTAAAGGAAGTCTCAAGCCTACAATTTTATATTTTGTAATTAAGGTCACCACTCAAAATCTTCAGTTTCCTTTTTTTCTCTTTAAAAGACACTTTTGTCAGTTCTAGTTCACAGGGTGATACATTTTGCGTCTCCAGCACACGTATACATACACACTTTCTTACATGTCACAAAAATACCTCAGTCACAGAAAGCAATAAGTTCAGTATATTAAGTTCAAATTAGTTATTAAGAATTAGATATTAAGGTCGATTAAGTTCGAATATTAAATCCTTAGTCGAGCAAGCTGATCTCCTTTGTTGATAAAATCAACCATACAATTCTGGAGATCAAAGTCTGAATTTACCTAACTTAGAAAAGTCAGTCAACGTACAACATGTTCCGCACGAACCAAAGTTTTTTGGTTCAACCGAACTTTCAGGTCGCGGAGCTAACCTTTGGTTCGCTGAGCCGAGTTTTCATTCGCTCTACTAAGAGGGTCAATTCCAGTGGCGTGGCGTGCTTTGCGATACATCGATTGTTCTGCGATTTAAACATATGGTAAAGAATCGATTATTAAGGTGTTCTCTGCGAACACCCTGTTTATCGATCTTCTTCCATAGGTTTAAATGGCATAACAATCGATTTATCGCAAAAATTAGGGGCGTTCCTGAACTACATAACTTCGGAATATTTTTTCCATGACTTATTTCAACTGTTTGAAGACTGAAAAAAAGAAATTTTCAGAACATGGCCCCATTTCATAACTGCGTATGATTAGAGTGAAAGATAGCTATAATTACATTCACTTCCAAACCCCAAGGGAATGCGTCGTATACCCTAATCCTGAGCGGTTCATGAGTTAATGAGGCCAAGAGATTGTAACTTTGGCACAGTGCCGCTTAAATATTGCAAATTTTACACAAATCGGCATTGGATAATTGAATGGGAAAGAGGTTAATCAACTAAAGTTTCAATTATTACTCAGCCATGTAATAAATCGGGAATGGGAAAATATAAAATGTAAACCGGCAACTATCAATGAGTGCTAGAGATTATGTAACAGCATTCGTGCGGTCGTTGACTATCGAGCTTAAAGCTCTATGTACTTTAACTGTACAGTGAACGGAGGTTGCACTGAGAGGATGCGGTCAACAAGTAGTTGACTATTGGGAAGGTTGACGGCAGTGCTGCCGTGATAGCGAGGAGAGCCGTAGGTGCAAAATTTTCGAAATCGAGTTTTCTTCAAAATTTGTTAAACCCTTTTAGATAAAATTACTGAGACAGCTAAAACAGCAAAATTCATCCTAATTCAATAAAAACGAGACGTATGAAAAAGCCGTAAGTGCACAAAAAATGACATGTTTTTTTTCAAGACAGCTGTAGGTGCATGAGAGCCATGTCCAGTGCTTTCAAGAGGAATGCCGCCCTCATCGGCCGATTTTTGAAGAGCGCCTTCAATTCTTCGTTAATACCACAAACATATCTCTGAGGCACGAATAGCTCCATATAGGCTTCCGTGTGAGAGTATCTCTCGTGCTTTTAGTCTTGATAACGTGGTGTGCTGACTGCTGAGCATGATTGGTGGAGTAACTATTCATGTCTAAGAAATATCTCCAAAGTATAAATGAAGGACTGAGCGCACCTCGTCATCTGTTATCACTTTAGATCCTCACAGAAAAGTCTCGCCGCACAACGCAACGAGCCTCTCACAGAGGTTCAACATTAAATTTCGACTTAAACTGCAAATTTTGATGTTAATTTCTTTGCAATATCAATTGTATTATAGGTGCTTCTTGAAGGAACTTTTACGAAAAACCAATGAAACCAACTATTAAACCTCTACATTGCGTAATTACACTGGAAAAAAAAAACACATTGGATCTAGAGTCCGGACTCTTAAAAACATCGACATGAAAAAGTACTCTTGATTCAATCAGAATCTAGCTTAAATCAAAAACTAAGCCTCTTAATTTAAGCGGATTTCGTTTTGATTCAAGCAAAAATCCGATTGAATCAAGAGTATTTTTTCTTGTCAATTTTTTCAAGAGGCGGGACGACAGATGCAATGTATTTTTTTTGCAGTGTACATCGATATGAGCGTTTGATGTTTCACATTTTGGATCACTGCTCTCATTGACTCGCTTCTTTGAGCGCCGCTGCTGGTCAGGCAGTTGCGTCTGAAGTCAAAACGCCTTCCCTTTCGTGCGTATGCAACACGGACATCTATCGAGTTCGAATAGTTGCATCCAGGCGCCATAATGAAACTCGTTTAGTAATCGCCACCCGCGAGATTCACCAAAGCTTTGGTTATTTCTGTTACACCTTGACTTGACTCTAGCGTTGTCTATTGTGCCGATGAAGTAAATCAGCACTAATTTTTATCGCCTCATTGTCAGTTTCCCGAGAAATTCATTTTTTAAATGTATCACAACGTTGCCGGTCCTCGAAATCACAAAAAATAGGGTCTGAGCATGATACGGAGAGTTTTCTATCCCGCTTCAATGAGCTGTCCTTTGTTTGAATTTTTTGTTTTTTCCCTGACTACTTTTGACGTTTGAGAGATAAATTTTGACAGGAGAAAACAATCGTAATGATTCGCGCGGAATGTGGAACAAAATCGACGTCTTTCCGACCTTCCAAAAAATGAACTGAGACAGGAAATGTGTAAACCCAGAAGCCTGAATATACGTGTATGATTTTCCAGTTGCAATGGCAAAACTATAGCATGATAAAGTTTGGTAATTATATCAGTGAAAATTACATTATGTTCTGCTCTCCTCCTCCGTAGATGTGTTCATGCGTCAAGGTAACATTACCTCACATTTTCCAGTGTGTTTTAACTTACGTCAAACGGAAGGTACATCATACAAATGACGTGATTTGTATTTTTGCCATTTAACCAATTAGTCTGAATTTTGCTACAAGGAATTACAATTTTCATACATCTCATTACAAATCTCATACATAAAAGCGCATATCTGCATAGGAAAACTACTGGCACATACTGCCGTGCTAAGGAAAAACGCGCCGTATGGACCTTCAGGCGTTGCCAAATTTCTCTTGGCAAATCACTAATTTTCAGGAAAATTCTTGAATATTTGTTTACCAATTTCTCAGATAATTTTGTCTGAAATTTGATATGATCTTCTGAAAATTTTGAGGAAAAGTATTCATAATTTTTCTCAAAAATAAACATTTTATCAAAGGAAATTTGGCAAT